CAGGAATGCGTGATACCCAAACCCACGGCCACTTGCAGGGCAGCAGCTGGTTTCATCACCTGAAGACTGAGCCTCCCCACAGCCCTTGGGATGGCCAGGATGTCCTGGAGAGCTCTGTGGGCCACAGCAAGCACTGGGCAGGGAGCACAGAAGGTGCAGGGATTGGGAGGGCCCCTTGCGGCTTTGAAAGAGCCTTTGTGGTTGCGGGGGCATTGGTTTTGGCTGCAGTTCAGGAGTTTTTTTGATTTCACAGCCTGATAGAAATGGGAACAAATTGGAGGTCGATGTCGTCCCTGGTGGGAGGGATGTGACTCAGAGGCATACAGGCTTTTTTGCTGAAGCGATGGAAGCAGCGATGCTGGGTACCACCGGCTCACAGTGAGGATTGTGGATTGTGGGGGGTGTCCAGCTGCACAATTAACATAGTCCCCTGCAGTCAGCAGTGGGCTTTGGGTGGATCCAAGGGTAGCTCGCATCCCTGCACTCAATCAGGCTGCCTAGATACTGGCACCAAAGGTCAGCCCTGAACTTTGAGGATCTGGATTTGATCCTTCTTGAGCCTGGCTGGTGCTTTTATTAAGGATTCATCTGTGAAACCATTTCAGCTGTGAGATAATTGTATGATTGTAGCGTGATTTGCTCTTCCACCTTGTTTGTTGTTGCTGCTTTTTTCTTACTGTTGTTGCTTTTTTCTGTGAAGAGTCTTGTAGTGAATTACAGAAAGAGGATTTTAATTCAGGAGACCTTGATGACTTATTATGCCTTATTGCTCCTTAGGCATGGAGTACAGCTTGTTCTTTTTTCGTCCTCCACTTGTTTATCTCCCACATCTCCTCCACCACCACTACCACTGCAAGGTAAATCACAAGAATACTCCTCCATTAGAGAACGGCATGATACTTTTTCAAGTGATTCACTCAAACAGGAGTGGGCAAACATGCTTTCATCTTTTTTTCTGCTACTGTTTGTTGGCATAAAGTGCTGAGTGGCCAAGTACATTTCATAGGTGTTGGAAAATATTGCTGGAAAATGTTGCTCTTTCTTTATGTGGCCAGTCAGGGACAGATTTGTCCTTCACGCAGCAAAATCAGTGAAAGTTCATATGGAGTGGATACGCTTTTGCAATATTTCGATCATCCATCCCAGAAATGATGGCAAATCTTTCTGCTGTCTCGTCTTAAATTTGTTTTAGAAAGCTGTGTAGCTCACGGTGGTTGGTTTCAGCCCAACTCTCTGGCAGTGACAAACATGCAGCAGGCCCAGGGGCTGTGCAACCACTGATACTTCTCCCTTGGGCTGGGATGTCACCAGATTGCTGAGCAGCAGCGAGGTCAGCTGCTGTTTTCTGGGCAGGACCTGTCTTTCAATGCTCAGAGACTGGGCTCTAAGTTCAAGTCTCTCTGGTTTAAGTGTTGGAGGAGTTTTGAGAGCACTTTGAAAACATTCTCAGTGCAGACGCCACTCTTCTGCCCTTGCAGTGGACACTGAAGTCACAGAGGGAGCAGGGCCAGCAGGAGGCAGTCTGCTGCTCAGAGCTTTGCCTGTCAAGCACAGCGGGCCAAGACGTGGGGAAAGGGAGGGACAGACCCTTAGGTATGGTCATGGGGCAGAAGTGAACCCCTGGGTTGCAGGAGGGCTCCTATGTGCTGCCACAAAGCATAACTGACACTTGCCCACTGTGTAGCCAGAGCAAGCGTGTTCATCCCTCTGTTGAGAGAAACACGAAATACCGCAATGTTTGTCGTTGGCCTGTCTGTGTCACCTTGTACTGCAGGCACTGCAGTCAGAGCAACCCAGGGGACTCTGTCTTGACATCGGTCGTGATGGGAGGGGGAAGGTGAGGATCAGATCAGCTACATGCTTGGCTTTCAGTCTGTGCTAAGGGACTTCAAGCATCCGAGCTGAAAATGGGGAACTCCTTGAGGAGGCTTCTCATCAGAGAGGACTGGAAACCACTGATTCCAGACCAAATCAGCCATGCCCAGGGATTTGTATCCATGGGCTTTTGCTGCTATTGGTATTCAGATCAAGTACCTCCAGTTCCAGTCTCAGCCTTGAACTTCTCCTGGGATATCAAATATACCAAACCTCCTCCCTGAGAATTGACAAAAAGCATGGCACAATTTAAAATGTAATATTAAAGGAAGTGAATCCCCTGCTGTATGTATTTCAGCTGCCTTCAAGTTTGCAGCTAGCTGGTTGTCACCTGTGCGTACTTCACTCACTGGGACTACACCCTTCCTCTGTGCTGTGCGTTAGGGCCTATTTTGCTGCATTGCAGAAGAAACAAGAGCCAGGCTTTCATTTTGTCGTGTGTAGCCTCGAAACAAAATTGTCAGCTAGACCATGATTGTGGAGTATGTACCACTGGGGATGAACAGAGGCAGGATGAACACAGCTTGAGAACCCCATCCCAAGATGAGTTTTCAGCACCGGTAGTTAGAAAAACCCACCTGAGGCTTCTTCGCTGAGCAAGCTCCCAGCAGAATAACCACCACCCACCCCACCCCAATGTCTTTATTGTGGCGTCGCTTCTTCTGACAATAACTGCTCTTTAACTTCTTGTAATTACATCAGTCTTTGGCTTACCGCTTTCTGGTTCTGCTGTTGGTCTCCTGCCAGACAGCAGTGACTGGTGAGGGAAGCGCGCTCCTCGATGCCCTGCCCAGGCTGCGCGGCTTGCCGTGCACACGGAGGGTGCCGGTATGAGACCCCACTCCTGCAGGCATGGCTGCGAGAGCCTGCCCAGCACTGCCAAAGCCACCTGGCAGGAGGTGAGACACTTGTTGCAAGTGGCCGCAGAAAATAATAAATTGGTGTTTTCCTCTTCGAGCAGACGGCAAGAATTACCTGCAGATGCAGAGCAGCAGACGGAGGGAAAGCCAGCGAGCCCGGCTCATCAGCCCCACCATCTATCTGCCCCGGAGCGCTGTCTGCATGGTCTTCCAGTACCAGGCGTGGGGCAGCAATGGGGTGATGCTGCGGGTCTGGCGGGAAGCCAGCCAGGAGCACAAGGCGCTGTGGGTCATCACGGAGGACCAAGGAGAAGAGTGGAGGGAAGGCCGCATCATCTTGCCGAGCTACGACATGGAGTACCGGGTAAGATGCTCAGGGAAGGTGTACTGGGCCACGCAGGCATCTCCAGCATCTTTATTTCAGTGTTTCAGAGCCAGGGCCCATTCATCATTAGGGAATGTGGCTGTTTTCATTGTGTTTCTCGAGTTACTATGGTAACTAAACGACACTGTTTGTTATTCAGAGAGTGCCTGTCTTCTGCACAGACTTCAGCCTTTGTTCAGCCTGTTGTCTTTTATATTCTTCAAGTCTCCCACTTTGCAAATATTTTCCCTTCTTTTTTTTCTGTCATTTCCCCACCCCCCCCAGCTGATGGTCATCAGATAGTCTGACCAGAGGCAGATGCGCAGCTCCAGGGAACAAACCCAAACCCTGCAGCCAGGAGAAGTGGGAAGCTGGGAGGGAGCATGGCCAGCTATTAAGGGTAGGCAGCAAACGGCTCTTCTGCAGCCTCAGCTGCAAGTGCTGCTGTGGGAGAAGGAAGAGGGAATGCAGGTGAATCTGCTTCTCAGGTACCTCAGACCGAATCAAAGGGCTGGGTGCAGCGTTGTGGGACCAAGGCCCAGTCCTGCTGTCAGGAGATCAGTGGAAGAGAAGGGGTGAGCTGGAGGGAGCAGTGCTGCTCGCCGCAGCTGCCTGAGCTTCTCTGGCACAGCCGTGCCAGCGCCCTGCGGAGAGGCTGCTGCTTCCATGAGTGCCTTTGGCGTGGTTAGCTCTCCCGGGCAGCACGCCCTTTGCCAGGGAGCCAGGGCTGCTGTTGTCACTTGTTAATGAGCATCAGGATGGCGTCCAGCACCCTCCAAAGCAGAAGGGAACACCAACGTCCAGCACTCGACCACCCTGGCAGGGAGCCTTGCTCACGCTGGCTCCCAGCCGTGACCCTGACCCGAGGAGCTGCTGCTCTCAGGCCACTGACCCCTCCAAACTGCTGCCTCCCGCATGGGTCGATGGCTCACGCTTGGGACCAGCAGCTCTGACACTCTGTCCTGTGCACAGACAGACACATGGCCCTTCAGGGAGGTGTCTTTGCACGCAGGCATGGGATCGGGCTGCCCAGCCACCCCAGAGAAAGGCGGCACCCAAAATGAGGAGAGTATGTTTTTGAAATACGTAGCCCTAGGAAATTATTTGGACCCTCAAGAGTAGTCAGGGAGAAGCTTTGCACCGGAGCTGCGTGACTAGGTTTCATGTGTGTCTTTGATTTTTTAATAAAATACCAATAAATGCAATATGCCTACATATAAGAATGATGGGCACTGGCTGACTGCGTTGTGCGTTAAACATGAATATACTGGCATTAGCTAAGTAACAGCATCATTATGTAGAGAATGCCAGTCTCTCCACTCAGCAGTTCTTAGCGCTAACGACTCTATTTATTTTTGTAAATAGATTTTGCCTGTGATTAAGCAGGAATAAATTGACCCTTCTCCTCTAACATTTCAATACTTCTTACGTAACGTTGATCATAACAGCACTTTACAGTTAATGTAGCTGTGCATTTTGTGTCCTTTCCTCCTTTTTTCTGACCATAGCCTAGTTAATACCACGGGCAAAACCTGCTGGCGCTGTAAGTCAGTGTTATGCCACTTGCATCATTTGTGCAAGGGCCGGAGGGTGGCCTGCAATGCTGAACATTGATTCACTGAGTCTTTATTCCATGCGAGAGACATTTAATTGAACAAATTACAATGAGTGCTGCCAGGCCAGGTAACAATCTTTCTGCCGAACCAGTCCCTGCAGAGCAGCTTTCCCTGGAGAAGGGGTGGCAGAGGTAGGGCAAGGAAGCACAACTAGTCTCAGGTCATCCGCAGGTCTGCAGGGAATGCCAGGAGCAGATCTCCTGCCCTTTCCCTCAGGAGCAGCAGCCGCTCTCTGCTTCCCAGCTTAGCATTGACGTTTCTGTCCCAATTTCTCACAGATTGTGTTTGAGGGATTTATACGCAACGGCCACTCGGGAGAGCTCGCCCTTGATGACATCCGGCTAGGCACCGACATCCCACTGGAGAACTGCATGGGTACGTGCTATGTCCAGCCACAGGGTCGGGGATGGCGGTGGGGACAGCCAGGGCTGGAGAGCCTTCGCTTGCAGGCTGCTAGTGGGCTGCTTCTCCTCCCCTGCTTGAGTTCCTGGGAGTTTCTGGATCTCAGCTGAGACTTTCCTTGCTCACGAAAGAAACGAGGGGGACTCAGTCTCTGAGGGATGAGGGCTCTGACCGTTTTGGTGTGAGAGGCAGGAAGCACATGTCTCTGCCATGGAAAGCTGAAAGAGCAGCTGAGGGTTACCGAGGACTATTCTGTGTGATAAGGACATACACCATATTTAAAAGGAAAGTGCTGGACAAAAGAAACCAGCTGTCAGTCAGTGTTACACGCTTAGAGGGGCCGATGAGTTCAAAAGGAGTCTTCTCTAATAAGAAATAAAATAGCAGAGGGGTTTTACAACAATGCTAACAGAATAACAAAAGAAATTTTTGTCCTAGAATTCACCATTCCCCAAACCAGGCCATAAGCCAGGTGGATTCATTCAAAGTGAAAGACAGAGAGGATTTTATAAAAAGAGAAAGAAGTGTATTTTAGCAGTTTGCTGGTGGAGCTGTTGCCCTGCCCTGTTCCTGTAGCTGGCATATCCATGCACACAACTCTGATGGCTCTGGTTGCCATCTCGCTTGGATGTGGATTTAGAGCCATCCCAGCTGAGGGTAGGACCAGCAGTGTTCAATTAGTAGGATCTGTGCTGAGAGCTGCCCGCAATAGTGAGGCCCTGCTCTTCTGCATGACCTGGGGGAGGCATGTTTCAGTTAGACACCTGCAAAGAGGCTGGTCCATCCTGAAGTCCGTGGAAAAAGTCAGGTAGAGCAGGGCCTCTCTTCCCTTTGGGCTTTGAAAGGCCCCGTTCAGTGAAGCTGCTCTCCTCTCCCCCACCAAGGGAAGGAAAGGATCCCAGTGCCTCCTAACCCAAGCGGGACGGACACTCTCTTTCAAGGGGTAGATCTCAGGGGAGGAAGCACAGGACGCATTGTGCCTGGGAAGGGCTGGTCATGTCGCTTGCTGCCCTGTGCCGGCAGGCGATGGTGAAGATAGTGCAGGAACCAGCATAAATAATACAACAGAGTACTGGGACTGACCCAGAGATGCTCTTGAGCGCCGTCGGTCCCTCTTTCTCTGATGCTTTGAACTCTGCTGGTCTCTTGTCTGCCAAAGGAGCTAATACCCCATATGTCAAATTCCCTGTATTTAAGGCTTGACAGTGGTGTTTTAATCCCTTGCCTTCTATGGCATTAAAGAGAAGCAAGACTGATGATTAACACTAATAGCATTTCCTATCTAACTTCTTTAGAGCTGAGCAATTCACCTAGCTCCAGTGTTACTGCATCTTGGGCCCCATGAACCTAAAGCTTCATATTTCAAAACAAAAGCATTACTAAATTACAAAGTTTCAAGCGTTGCCAGCCCTAAAACTAACACCAAGCTACGCAAAATTATTTGTCCCATTCTAGGAAGTTGGATAGGAATCTTAAAATTGATAAGAATAGTTTGTTTCAGAGCATTTCTAACAAAGGGCTCCCACTGCAAACTTTAACATAACTCATAGGTCATTTCCAGTGTCACCAAAATAATAATGAAACAGCAGAGATACAGGGCTGCTCTCTCTCTGTCAGGGCCACGAGAATAGCTGACTCCAGCACAGGCTACTGTTTTTTCAAATATAATCTTGGGAAGTAATCCGATTCCTTTTTAGCATGAAAGAACGTTAATAACTCACAATAATTTTTTCCTCTGACAGATGTGTCTTTCGCATTCTGAACTTGAGTGATGATTTCATAGCACTCAGTAGAGCCAGAGTCTGCTTCTGTGACTCACAGGCATAATGCAGAAGTAATCTAAAAATAATCAGAAGTCTATTGCTTCTGCGAGAAAGTAGTCAGTAATAAGTACTGATTATTGCTTTTCAGATCCAGTAATTTGTAATAGATTACTTCAGAGTATCTTGAAAGAAGAAAAAAATCACTTGCCTTTGTTTCTTGGCACTGTGAGATGGAGAGGAAGAGGGCATTGATGCCCAGAGGTGACACAGTTCCCATGTGAAGAACGATGCCAGAGTTGAGCCAGAAACCACACTGCTCTTGGAAATTTTAGGGGATTTCAGGGTTTCATCACTGGGCCAGGTGGGGCTTTGTCTTTGGATGACTCAGGCCAGCGAGCTGAATCCAAATGACTCTCAAATTTGAACACATTTTTCTCTGAAGTCTGTGTCTGAGTTGAAGCTTCTTGGGTCTGGTCACTCCTCAGCCAAGACAGGGTTTCTCCCCGTCCGGGTGAGGCTGGCTAGCACCCCGCACTGTTTCCAGTGAGTGGCTTCTGTGGGGCACAGCCACGCGCCTGCTCTGCTTGGCCACTGCAAATCGGCAGGGACATGAACTGTGGCCTTGTGTGTAATATTCGCCTCTCTAATACTAGGGTTTGTTTTTTTCTTTGCAGAACCCATCACAGCTTTCCCAGGTGAGAACTACTTTCCAGGTAAAACCGCACTTCTCTCGGTGGTTTCTTTCTGCTGGCATGGGCTTTTACATTGAAGGAAAGCGATGTGCGTGCTTGTACAAACAGCAAACGTTCTGAGCAGTGAAGTGGCAAGCGTGCGCTAAGCCTCCCCCGCCACAGCAGCAGGAGGAGGTGGCACCCCCTGACTCCTGCTAGGTGACAGGGAGCAGGCAAACAGAGAATTCCCACTGTCTCGGGGCTGAATAGCATTAGAAAACCTGCCACCACGAGGCACCCGGCCTCCTGAAGAGCAGCTGAGCCCAAAATGGGAGGGCTGAGGTGTAGAGTTACCAGCTGACTTAAATGAGAAGCCAGTAGCCAATTAAAGGTGAAATGAGGTGGCAATGACTTCCAGTTAGTGTGGGGGAAGGTTGTTCTCTAGTTCCTAGATGCTCTGGCAGCGCTGGTGTTGGAGCTGCCAGCGAAGGAGGGTGGGGCCAGTCTGCTTGGAAGGGGACGGGAGGTGGGAGGTAGAAGTGGGAGAGCAAACTGCCATGAGGAGCACTGAAGGTGACAGTCAATAAAAGGAAAACAAGGTGAAATGGTGCATTTAATAGCTTAATACTAGCCTGAAGGATAGAAACCGACATTTCTCTGATCAAACCCACAGAGTAAGACAAAAGGTGAAGAACTCAGAAAAACTGCCTTGCTCTTTGAGCAGTCAGTAGGGATGCTGTTTGTCTCGCTCTGGGGTGCGAAAAGCTGTCTGCTTTTGTGGGGAAGACCAGTTTAGTCTGTTTGAGAGGTTTTTTTTTTCCCCGTTTTGATTTTGGATTTTGTTTTCCTGCCTGCCTCTTCAGGAATGTATCTGGGGGTTGTGTTGTGATGAAGAGCAAACTTGGGGCTCCCCTTAACTTTGAAAGTTGTTTTGCCAGTTCAGTCAATGTGCCCTTTGCTTTCACTTGGACATGATGTCTGTACTCTTCCCACCCCCTGCTCTGCTGGTGGGCTGTGAGATATGGCTGGGCTCTACCCTGGAAGCAGCTGCCTTTCTGTGCAGGGCAAAGCTGTCTCTGGTAGGTATATGTGGTGGGAGCTGTGGTGGTAAAGGAAAATTAGACACCGAGATTGAAGTCACATGCACAACTCCATCCCTGGGGTGTGAGGCAGGCTGTGGAGCGTTACCAACAGGAGGGACATGCGTAGGGCTTAACACCGTACGTTACAGTCATATCCATAGTGTAACAACTAGGAATTTGGGTTTGCTTGTTTGTACGTTGCTTATTTATCTGCCACTCAGGCTTGCGGTGTTACTGAAAAGCTGCTGCAATATTCCCAGCTGACAGTTAAAGCCTTCCTCACTTACACCATCTCTCTGTGTTCTCCTGGGCCTGGTCTGGTAACTATTTTGCAAACAGCATCCTTCTCTTTTGGGGCTTGTGATGTGCATGTCATATTCAGTTTGAACCTCATTCTGGGTTCTTATATTGAGTCTGTCCCAAAGTCATGTTGTTTCTTTTGCCCTTCACCCCATACCCTGCTGCCTGTGTGCCTCCATTTCCCCATCGCATTCCCCAGGGCATGCTGTGCCCAGCACAGTGAGGTCCCTGAGCACCACAGGCAGATGCCGTTGCAGGCACAAGTCCCCTTCACACAGGAGCTTGCCAGTTTGTGCCAGTGGGCTCCTGCCCATCGCTGGCTCCCTGGAAGACATCCTGGTACTGCTCACAACAGAGGAGCAATTGCAGGAAAAGGCTGGAAAGGTTTCCCTGGCTGACAGGCAGGAATAGATGAGGCAGAGGGATGGAGTGACCAGGGAAGGAGCAAAATGCAGAAGGAAAACATGAAGAAGTGAAGATGAAGAATGGAGAAAGCAAGCTAGCAATTAAAATGAGCAAAAGACAGAGAAGCCCAACAGAAGGAGAGGGCAAAAGACGGGGGAAGAAGTCCTTGGCTGGAGAAAGAAAGGAGGCTCAAGAGGAAAGATTGTGCAGGAAGTATTGAGATGTTCTGTAGCCCCCACTCGTGCAGTTACATGATGAGCTGAAAAAGTCGGATGCCATTAAAAATAATAGCAAATCCTTCCTCTCCTGGCTTAGGAGAAAAGCTGAAAATATGCACCTTACAGGCTCCAGGATCACAAGGCAAATAACACGAAGAGAATTGTGTGGGTGGAATATCTTTCAGCTGGTGGGTCGGGATCTTACAAGACCATTCAAGTGTGTTTAAACTGTGCTGCGTTTGAGAGCTGATGCAGCTCACCCATAACGAAAAGGTATAACAAGTGGCTGGAAGCAAGGAGTTAGATAAATAGCAGGCTAAAAATAAGAGACATATTCCAAAGAGCATGGAGACAAACCACGGGGAGAATTTGCCTTTGAGACTGTTGGATTCTCCCACACTGGGTATCCTGAAATCAAGACAGGGATATCTTCCTGGAGAAATGACAGGTAGCAATTAAGGGGTTGAGGCTGACACCAGTATTGTGGCATTCAGATTACATGAGTGTAATACTCGCTTTCATCTGTGCCATCTATGAAAATTCCAGCTGTGTTGCTTGTCCACAGCTGTTAATGTCAGTGATTTTGGAGAGGAGTATGAGCTGTGACACGGCAGTGGCAGAGCAAGGCAGGCAGCCTGAATAGGGTCTCTGAATAGGGTTTTCTCCATTTTTTTCCCCTTTTGAATTTTGATTTCTGCTAGACAGCTCTGAAACTGGTCCCTGTAGAGTCCTCCCTGTCGAGAAGAGGATGGGGCTGTATCTGGCCAGGTTGGGTGTGAGCGCAGCAGCACACCCCCATGAAGTCGTCCACCCTGTAGGGATAAAACGGGGTTTCCACTGACCAGTGTCCCAAGCTGTGCATAAACACAGCACCCACAAACATGACAGTAATAGCAGGAGGCATTTCTTTATTAAGACAAGAGCCCTAGTGAACAAATGAGGAAGGGCAAGCGTGTGTGTGTGTGATGGAAGGCAAAGGGGAGTGGAAAAATTATGAAGTTAAGAAGATGGATTTTTTTTTTCCATCTCCCTGAGCAGAGAACTTTTCCACTGGTATAAGAGAAAACTTTCAGAGAGCAGCAGAGCCAGTAAAAACAGAGCAGATAACATCCGCGCTGTGTGCTGAGTGGATGGGCAGCTGTATTTAGTGGCTGACGGTGTAAGGAAGCACGATCATTAATGTTGGGAATTGGCTTCGTTAGGGCTCAGAGACAACTGAGTGTGATTCCTTAATGACTTCAGTTGCTAAATGAACTCTCTAGACTTCTGCTGTCTTCTCAGCAGGGTTGTGAGGTGTGGAAACAGGGGCTGAGGAGGAGCTCTGCACCACCCCTCCGCTTGCAGCCCCAGCTGCTGCACGGGGGACATCTGGAGCAGGTCAGAGCAAAGCAGAGGTTGTCCTGAACCCACAGCTGCCTTGAGATCCCCCAGGGATCCTTCACACAAGCGGGATCATCTGGGACACATCACACTGCCTTGCTCCTGGGGAAGGGGCAGGGGTTGCAGGCTGGGCACCATGGCACATGCTCCTCTACGGCCAGACCCACCTTGCGTACTCCCAGCCCTGCACCTGGCAATGTACAGCCATCAGGAGGCCACGGAAACTTTCCTCACCTCTGTTTTTCAGAGGGGAGCACCACTCCCCTGCAGGCTTAGGAGCCATTGGCATCCCTGAAACCTGCCCCCCTCTCCCCACCCCAGTTTCCACTGACGGGGCCTGGTGCATATCAGTGGTGTGAGAGGCTATTCGCCTCTCAATCTCTCGCTGGAGCAAGGCGCTGTGTCACCGAGTGTAAGCATGAGTGGCCTCAGCACAGCGAGCAGCCCTGCCATCTTCCCGGGGGTTGGCCCCGCACCATGGTGCTGTCAGGCACAGGCGAGGTGTTGCTGATCCATTGGGGATGGCGGTGAGATGCGTACGGGCCCGGGGCGGCTCGCCGTGGCGTTGGTGGGAGACAGCTGCAGGTTATCAGGGAAGCTCAGAGCAGTGCTGAATGTGCTTGCCATGACGGGGGGCTGGGACGGCCCCCATGGGGTGTCCCACGCTGCCGTCCCACGCAGCCGGGTCAGGGGCAGCAGCTGCTTGGGGGGGCACAGGGAGGTGCGATGCTCGTTCCCCCATGCCAGGGTGGACAGTGGGGGTAGAGAAGGAGGTTGGAGGGCTGGCTGCCTGCTCCTTGCCTTCGCCACCCCCAGCACACAAGCCCAGCCTAGACCCCCCCTCCCCAGGCATCCTTGGGGGCAGGAGGGACAGGGCCACCCCCATTCCTGACAGCCAGGGGTGGCTGGGGTGAGACGAGGCGAGGGCAGCCTATCTGGCAGGTAGGCTTCTCCCGAGACACCCCAACTTCTTGCCTGTAATGACAAATATGTGGGTGGTTCCCAGCCTCCTGCTCTGTAAAAGCAGGATTTGTCTTTCCTGTGTGGGGTTTTTTCCTTGGTTTTTAGGGGGGTTTTTTTGTTGTAGCTATGCATCTGGGTGCAGTGTTCATTCTTATTTTTACTCTCGGTGCCCGGGTTTCGGGGGATGGGGAGGGGCGGAAAGGCTAGTGATTGATGGAGGAACTGTCCTTTTGCCACATCTCCTGTGCCACCCGCAGCAGGAAAGCTGTCGCCGTCCCAGATGCAGCTGATGGCTCTGCTGGCAGGGCAGCGTTTGGAGGGGAGGGCAGAGGCCGTGCCACGAGGTGCCTTTGCTGCTGGCAAAGCCAGGTGCGTCCTGCACTGTTTTGTTTGTTCCCCTTGGCATCCTCCGAGGCTGCTCAAGAAACCGAGCTGGAGTTTGGTTAGCACAGAGCCAAATGATATGCTGAGACCAAGCCACAGAAGCCCCCAAAACTCTGCTTGCCGGCACCCAGATGGGGGGCTGCCCCTGCCAGCAGGCCCGGGGCAAGAGGAGAGGGCGAGCAGAGTAGGGGGGGTCAACGTGTTCAGTGACAGAGTGAACCCTTCGAAGAGTTTCCCCGGGGACTTTGTCCTCCCTTGAAGTAGCCAGTAAATAAATACGGTGCAAAAGTGC